TATATTAATAAATGTTTACTGGCATAAAAATATCAGATCGCAAGCAGATAGATTTAGCGTCAAGGAAAACAAACGATTCGGTGTTTTGGTGAAACATGGGACACACAGAAGGAAGAAAAATTAACACAATATGAAGGACAGAAGTATCACATTACGGAAGATATGTGCAAATGACAGTTTGCAGATAAGGAGTATATGACAGAAGGGAAGAGTCAGGTAACAGATCGTTTATTGAGGAAATCAACAGATATTTATAGATTTTCATGTACATTATTGTAGATTATTGTTAGCAGACAAACGCAGTCTTCTGATTGGTTGTTTCTCGCTGAAAGTTAATCTTTCATCTCTTTGTGGCCGTTTCTTCAATGTCAGATCATCTATCTGCGCCATCATCTATCTATCCGCCTACGCAAAGTCTGCTGTCAGTCTTTGTTCTTGTTTTTCTCATGACCAATATTTGGGAGTAAACATTGGCGCAAATTACTGTCTACCAATTTTGGCTATCAGACAGCTCTCACCATAATAATGAATTCCAAATAAAAATTCCGTTACCAAGTCTCTTGTCTTCTGCCGTTATACCAAAAGTTCTAATATCAAGGTTGTTTACCTCCATTTTGCAAGACTGCATACGGAGACGAAATTAACAATTTCACTCTGTCCCAAAAAGACATTGCTACTGTAGAATAAGTTCAAGGATGAGCAAATATGTAATCTGACGGAGAAACTATTTATTTAGAGTCCACTTGGATAGTTTACAACCATGACTGCTTCCGTATGGAACAATTAAGGGCATACCATCAGCATGTTTTATATTTTGGTAATCCTGCTAATTTCAGTTAGCAACCTTACATAGGATTTCTCAATTTTAAGTGCGAACGAAGCCTAATTCACATCAAAAATTGTGTCTATACCTCCTGAATAAAAATTTACAGAATAAGGGATTCCTATCACGAGGTATCTGTGACCATACAGCTAGATAACTTCAAGCGAATTTCGGCTTTTATCTTTGGATTGCTTGAGATAGTGATAAGAAATTTCAGAATTATTTTAAGAACCTATACCATTCCGTTACCAATAGGACATGCACTGGTCAGTGAGCGTGTGTTGCAAAAGCACTAATGGTAAACCGTTAGTGACATTCAGCAATAAATAGCTGGAACTTCCAGTGACCCATCCATCAGACATTCGAGCCGAAAGCATTTCGCTGCACACTCAGATTTATCGAGTAGTCCCGCTTCGGATTAATTTAGGCATGGTTCTTAAGGGGCCACCAAAACATCATCCGTAAAATTTCGGCTGGAGTTCCAGTTAAGGCCATGAGTTACAAGTTAGGATGATGGGGCCCCATTAACTCTATCTGTTTAGGTGTATGGCCTTTACAACGCACCATGCTACGGCTACTCAGATGTAGTAAGTAAATGAGAAATTTAGAAGGACAGAAAGAGCAATGGAGCGGGAAATATGTCTTCCTTATGACTTGTACGGCCTTCTTTATCTATTGAATGATGAATGCCCTTCCGTGTATCTGACTAGGTATTCCCCGCTGCACTGGCCCTCTGCTGTGCTTTTGGAAATGAAGGTTCGTAAACACCATTGGTCTTCCATAATATCACAGACAGCCAGTAGGCAATCTGAGGAATTACTTTAATAAGAAAGGCGGTTTCTAAATCAGCACTCGTTATACAGGCAGTAGCTGACGTGGTAGCGGTATTGTGCAGTTCTACTCCCTGCTTTCATCGTTGATATATGATAGAAGCCTCAGAAGTGATGAAAATCTTGGTGTGTAGTTAAGTGGAGTATCGTCCTAACTGAAGGAAATGTCCCGCTGTTGCTCATGTTTACATCATACTGGACCGGTCACGCGCTTTTCACGAAAAGTGAATAATCTACTTCTCTCCTCATCTGAAGCCCTCCTGGAGAAAAAGGTCTCCTAGATGAAGGCACAATGTAAAACCTTGGCAAGAAGAATGTTCCCTCCTGTGGTATCACATGGACAGTTACTATAGGTTGTCTTCATCAGAAACCTACTGGATAACTCAAGCTTCATTGTCCTTATTTTTGCAACGATAATGGGGGCTATGAGGAGCGAAGAAGATTCACTAGGATTGCAAGATGCCGTAACAGTCATGAAGAGCTGGGAAACTGGATATCGATCACGTGTAAATAAATGACAGTTCCCCACTGGTATGGGATTAATCCATTCCACTAGACGATACAGTGCTCCGGATGAGAAATTAGGAAGCACAGCTGATATAGCCCTTTATTCTATGTGTAGGTGGATGGATGTGATTACGAAGCCATGCAAAACGCGTCCATGGCTTTTCCCGCGATTCACGACTTTGCCATATCGCTCCTGCGGACAGGCCTTAACCTCGCAAGGTAAGCGCATCAAAGGCCATCCACCGGTTAAACTACTGGCTGCATCCTGATCCATCTAGAAGAGTGTCACTCATATTTTGAGGATTGGAGGCTGATTTGACAACACTTCGTGAAGATTCGAAGTCAAACGAACATAAAGATTTTGCCAGGAGAACACTGCCGTAATTCAAAGCATCATGTTCTCTTAAGAACGCACTGCTTGCTGAAATGGACGCTGTTCCGGAGGGTACTAATTCCAAGAGAAGGCTAAGTGATTAAGTCAGCCTAAATGATCAAAACACTCTCTTCCCTTGATTTTAATAGGAGGTTAGGTCTAATTAAACACATATTTGTAACCTCTTAGTTGAATTTACCACCCTTACATTTCGCCCCATTTTAAAGAAGCTACATTATCCATTCCTGGAATTTTGAATCCCACTAAAGAACCAAAAATTGACAAAACTGTCTTCTAACTTGTCTTTATTACACATTCTTGGCTGTTCACAGATGAAGAAGATCCACAAAATAAAGGGAACTGCTGTCATTTCGCCTAAACTTCGCGTTTGCTCCTCTCAGACTTGCATTTAGATGACAAAAGATGGCAAGTTCTGTAGAATTATACCATTCACACAACTGTCTGAATATTCACATTCCACTTTAGTTGTTTTTGTTATTTCACCTCTGTTTGTATTTCTCTTCTGCCCTTTATATTTCTTTCATTTCAACTTCTTATTTAGTCTTTCATCATTTTCCTCCTTTTTAGCCCCTGTTACTGAAAAGATAACTGGAGATCTCAACAAACCATGCACTTCCCCATAATATGGGATTATCTGTCTATCTACTGTAACCTATAGGGCTACAACAACTGAGGAATAGATCCACTGTACAAAATCTAACATAGGACCGGGTCAGGTTGATAACATTGAGAAGACATCATCACGTTTGTAAAAGCTTGTAACAAACATACTGGATCTTAGACGTTTTCCTCCCTCACCTAACCAATAGACCTACGCACTTAGAAGCGCCCAGTGACTATAATAACCATGATCATTATCTCTTATTTGTCCGTGGAATCGAAGAGAGAAATAAGGAACTGAGTTCCATACATGAAATCCAATTTCAGAGATATCGGTTTAAAAAATTCCAGCTTACTGAATTACTACTTTTGCTGCAAGATATAAGGATTCCAATGTCACCCCACGACATCCTCTCATCAAGGAAGTAACCATAAAAGCTTCAATATATGGTGAAAATTTAAAGTTTTTCTTGAATTACAGAAATTCCATTGAAGCTCTCTTAGGATGGCGAACATTGTTTATTGAAGGTATTTGTTTGACCGCATGCAGTTTCGATCATATCATTAGCGTTGTTTTAAGAGTTCACATACTGGCTCGCGATATTTGCGTGGTCTCAAACCTGTGAGTGGCGCCGTGTGATTACATTTTGTAAAAAGTTCAACAGGGCCGTGTCAGTATTTCTTGTTTTGTAATATATCAGTGAATTATGAGGGCATTACTCTTTGTTGAGCTTGTGGACAGGACTGATTCTGTCTCTGGTTAGCGTAGCGCGTTGTTAATTTCACTTAACGGATTACTGGCAGATTTTAAATGAATAGGCCGAACAAAAGCGATTTCTTACGGTCATCTTTCTCAGTAATTACGGCTGAAAAACACAGTTATTCTGTTCTGAATAGTTTCATTGTGATGTATAGATCAAGACATTGAAAATTGCAGATCACTAGGCCACCAACTGTGTTAAGTGTGCAGTCTTAAGATGTTCTAAAATGTCAAAAGGATTTTCGATTTGACAGTCATAAAGGTCGCTTGGAACACCAAGGCAAATTAGTTATATTGACAGTAGTTTATCAATAAAGTGAAGTCGCTAGTTGGCTTACGTCTTTAGGTGCAGGGTGTCATTACCATTCTTGTTGTTAATGACAGATCAACTCGCCAGTTCATGTTTCGTGAAAAAATAAAGCTTATTACTATTCTGGGAAACGATTATTTGTGCAAAATATCAGGGAGCTTCTTCGACTTATCAATTCTGTTCTGTGTTCACTTCACCTCTGCAGCATTTCAACCAAAATGATTATGTGTTTCAGTTTTATGCTATCCATTTACTTAGATTTTTTCTTCCTAGGTGAAATTCGTAATGGACTGGGATCTGGAGAATTATGTACAGGGGATTTTCATCACAGTAATTGTCTGTATCGTATCGAGTGTGCTTTGTTACGTGTTCAGAAAAACATTGTTTGCTTCATATGTTTCTGCTACTCAAGATTCAGAGAATTTAGTCCGAAAAAAGAAGAAAGGTGAATTAAAAAAGTCTAAGAAGACTAAGAAGGTGAAAATCTTAGTAGATGGTCAACAAGGTGGTGAAGTTGATACAGATAGAACCCAAACATCTGATGATACAACTGCTGAAGAGGATGAACATCTTTCAGACTTACCATCTGACAGCCGTGCATCTAGCAGTAGTGAAGAGTCAGTTGAAAGACCTACCCAAGCATTACATACAACCGAAAACTGCTTACAAACGAAAACTGAACGTGATGATGCTTCATATCAGATTGGTCAGTCTTGCCTCAAAAGCTCTAATTCAGGTTCCCTAAATACTGAGACAAACAGGAGTCAGCATGACGATTCTGACTCAATTAATTCTTCATGTACTGAAAACAACATAACAGCTACTGTGTCTCCGTCAGTAGCAAAAGAACCGCAACCTATGGTTAGATCAAAGAAATCAAAGCGTCGTGCAACGAAACGGTCAACAGGATCTGGTGAATTGCCGAAAGAAGCGTCATCTATTGATTCAGTTAGTAGTGAGCAGCCAGTGAAGCCGCATGAAGAGGCAATCAAACTTGAATGCGCAGTAAGTAAGAAGCATGAATCACAACGCGATTTTTGTGCTACTTCTGAATTACATGCGAAAATTGAGCAGTTACAAGAACAGTTAAAGGTGAGTTACCACAGTAATACTTGTAATTCTATTGGTTTGTTATGTTTTGAGTAGGGAAGTGGTTTACTAAATGCTTTCGTTAACAACATAAGGAAATGACGTTATTTGTTAGTTACTGTCTTCTATATCGTAGTCATACGACGTTGAACATATCACATTGGAAATCATTTTATACATTCACGAATCGAGTCACTTCATAATTGTTAGGTATCCTGACTAAATCATCCAAGTCAGATTTTGCTCGAATACGCATCTGTTTGAGTAGTCACACTTCGGAAAATCACGCAAAATTACAGAACTGTAATATACTGGAACCACAGTGGAAAATAGTATGGATGGAATAATAGTTGAATGAAGATTAGTGAGGATCTTTAGAATCATAGTGATAACAAGAAGTAAACACATCTGCATCACTGTGGATGACTTTGAGCTGCCACTAACAGTCTCCAACCACTAATTCTTGGCATTTAGAGGATCCCAGCTTGGCAATCTAGACCAATATACGTAGCTAAGTTCACAATTCAAGAAATTCATAGATTGATGTTAAATTTTACTTTGAGAAACTCTAATTCCTTTTCAGCCTAATCCTAATTTGGCTGATATTGCTTGTCAAGGGAGGCAGTGACTCGGTAGTAGTAACACATCTCAACGATCTTAATTGACAGAGCTTCAGAAGCGAATCGAGTACCTTTCCCACCTTACCGCTGCCCCTAACCTCATTATTACTATCTTTATTGCTGTACTTAAAACGAGATTCTGAATGTGGGCACCTATAGTTAAACTCATAACTATATTTTATCTCTAACAGGTGTATCTCCTAGCCATAGAGAATGACAAAGCGAACTGCTACTATTACATACGTCATTTTGTTAACAGTTGGACATCACGTTTATGCTAATGCAAATACCATACGAGCATTGAGATTTAGTCAGCGACCGGTTCATTAAGGCTAATGCAACTTCCCAAATAAGGGAATTGGTCAATAGGTTCGACCATGATGCTGCCTATCTTTACACTAAAAATCAGTGCGGACCAGTTCCCCAGCATCGTCATACGACAGATAGGAGTCAGTTGCATGCCAAACTTACCAAGATTTCTGCTTAGTGTTCAAGAGACTACACTTTGTCAGCATCGCCAAGAAGAACAATATAATCCGCATACTTTAGATAGACGGAACTATTCCCCGATAACACGTCAATGCCAAAGCCTTTACGGTCGATTGGAACCACATCCATTGGTGCATCTATGATGGAGTTAAACAAAACTTTCGGCAATGGGTATTTCTGAAGGACACCTTGTTTTCCGCACCTTAGATGATATCTCTTTAAAAACTTACACAAGCTCAGGTAGAATGCCTTGATTGGTGCGATATACTTTCTTGGCACAGCCTTCATGGCCAGACATTGTCACAGATCCTCTCGTTCAATGGAGTCAAATGCCACTTACAGGTTAAGAAATATGCCAATTTTCAAAGCGTTGGGTTGCAGGGATTCGATTGGTTACAGACCTGATCGCGAGCTAACCTCAGTTAGAGAACCACTGGGAAAACCAATATGCTGTTGTTTCCCAACGGTTCTCTGACTGATGTCAGCTTTTGATCAAACCTGTGAATATGCTAAGTGTTAGACGTTGTCAGGCATGCCTATGTCCCAGAATCTGTCAAAGGGTGAAGATATGATCCATGCACCGTCTTCCCAGCACTAAGGTCGCCTGGTTTTCGAAGGTTCCTTTTTCTTAAACACCACTTAGTCTACACAGGATTACAGAATTTAGAATATCAGATACTATGTTAATCAAGCTGATCCTCCTTTGATTATCACAATAAGACCTGTCTCCCCTTTTATAAGCTGGGATAATCTGTGATTTGCATCAACTTTAGTGAGACTATCTCATATTCCTACGCACTGATTAGTAGCTTGATTTACTTAGTCAGAAGTTCATGACTACCAACTTTAAATAGCTCTGAAGTAATATCATGGGGCTGCGCTGCTTTACCTCGTTTTAGATCAGAGGAAGACTTAGCGACTCTTGCCTACATTCCATTTAAATGGAATGTTGGATTCTGGACAGATTTACGCTAGCTATAAGCCAACTGAACTTCGTCTCGAAATCTTCCCTCCAACGTTCCAATCGTCTACCCTGAGAGCAATTAGAGTACCGTTCTCGGAAATTGTTTCCCTTCCCACTGTTGTTTTACAACCCGTTATCTTGATGAGTCTAAATAGTTGTTTGGTATTGTCTACAGCTGATCGCTCTTATTTCTTCACTTTTGTGGCCACCACTGTCCATGTTCGTCGCGAAGGCTTTTGGTCAGATTGTATGATTTTCTGAGATTTCCGAAACACTTTCGTGAAATTTCTTAAACCATTTTTGTCACACTCTAAAAGACACATTTCTTTTATACACTAGGCCAGCGAAAACAAGTTATCAGAAACTTCACGATGGGCAAATTCCTTAGCCGAGGAGAATAAACGTTTCCGTTCAAAGGAAGAAGAGACTTCTCTTGGTTTACAAGTGCTGCAAGTGCAATATACCGAACTTTTAAGGGCGAACAAAACTCTGGAGCATCAAAATAACCTACTGGATAGAAAATTAAAAGTAAGTCCTGCATTATTAACTACAACATACCACTAAATATTATCAGAATTCGTACATCATCATAGTGTACCCGCTTTCCCCTTCTGATAACTGCTGTTCATAAGCTGGTATATGTTTTTGTTCAATTTCAGTAATAACTTGTTCTTTAAGGTTGTCAGTTTTCTCAAGGGAAATGAGTATGCATAAACGTGTTTATAGGACGACTGTTGCATCCAACTTATAATTGTTCTTTTTACGATAGCACGGTGCCAGTCAAATCACACTAGCTAATATTTATTCGTTGAATCATCTTTGGAAAGTACGGTTAAGGATGTCTAAATATACAGTGTCAATAGTCCATTCTAAATAGTTGTGCTGACTGTTTATTTCTTCGGTGGTCCATTTTCTTCATGAAAATATTTACTGAAGGAGCTGCATTCACTAATAAACTCCAGTCGTCAGCGTATCTAAATTTCACCTTTAGTTTTCTTTATCACAGCCTTTAATGTCGTTCGGTCATCTGTTAAATTTATCTTTTAAGGAGTCCAAAAATTAGAGTCGTTATCTAATATTACTATTATTATTCCCTTGCGTTCCGAGTGGAACATAGGACTTCAACAACACATTTCCACTTTCTTCTGTTTTCTGCCGTCCTCTTCAGCTGGGTCCACGATTGACCAAACTCTCTCATCTCTGCCTCACACGATCTCCTCCATGACACCCTAGCACCGACAACCCACTCTTCGCTTCCCATTTGGATTCCACTCGAAGGTCTGCTGTGCGATGTCATTCGGCGGCCTCAATGTATGCCCGATCCATCTCCATTTTCTCCTACTTATTTGTTGAGCGATCGGCTCCTGGTTGGTTTGTTCTCACAGTTTCTTGTTATTAATTCTTTCTGGCCATTTGATCTTCAGTATGGAGTGAAGGTGGCAGCTGTTGATGAAAGTCTGCAGTAGACTGTTGGAAATCCTTTTCGTGAGAAGCAGTTTAAGTTTATGTCCCGTATAGAAGAACCGACTTCACATTGGTGTTGAAAATGCGAATCTTGTTCCTTATGCTGAGTGTGGAAGATTTCCAAACTAGTTTCAGGTTGATGAAGGCTTATCTTGCCTTTCCGGTTCTGACTTTGACATCTCCGTTCGTTCCGCCTGTAGTTGGACGATGCTTCCCAGATAAGTGAAGGAGGCAACCTCTGTTAAATCTCTCCCGTTGATGGTGATTGGTGCTGGTTGTTGCTGCTGTTGATTGGTTATCTTCATCACCTCCGTCTTCTCTGTGTTCACCAGCAATCCTGTTTTCGCTGACAGCCTTTTCAGCCAGTTTGTTGGTTTTCGCTTCGAAGTCTTCGAGTTTGTGATACTAGACATATATCATCTGCGAAATCCATATCTTCTCGAGTCTTCTTACCGGTCGTCCAGCGTATTCGTGACTCCTCGCCCCCAACAGTCTGACGCATCCTGTCCATCACAATGAAGAATATTATCGGTGATAATAGGCAGCCTTGTCTTACTCCTGTATTTACTTTAGGGACAGGCCTCTCTGAGTTTTCCATTGTGGATCACTTGACACGTGTCATTGTCATATAGACAGCTGTTGAATGAGGTTGACAAAGACTTTGAGGTACGTCGTAGTGTTGAAGTAGTTTCCAAATTACTTCTCGGTGAACTCTGTCTGTCGAAGGCCTCTTCGAAGTCGATTAAGTTGAGGTAGAGGTTTGACTGACATACTATGCTTTGTTCTGTGATGACGATGCGTAGAGTTGCAATTTGATCAGATCGGCACATGATTCACCTTTCCTGAATCCAGCGTGTTCCGGGCGGAGTTCCTTATCCAGTGTATCCTTTATTCTCTCCAGGATGATGCGACTTAGTATTTTACTTGGCGTGGTCAAGAGCATTATTCCACGCCAGTTCTTGCACAGGCCTAAGTCACCCTTCTTTGGCAATTTGACGAGGTAGCCCTTCTTCCAATCAGTAGGCACCTTTCCTTTTCTCCAAACATTTTGCAGTATTGGAGTGAGAACATCTGCCGTAATCTCTGCGTCCGTCTTCAGCGCTTCGGGAGGAATGCCATTTGGTCCTGCTGCCTTCCCGGTAAACGTTCGGTAGCTTGATCGCATTCAGGATTTCTGCTTTCGTTGGAGAATTGGTGTCCACTGGCATTTCCGTGAGTGCTGTTGGTGGTATTTCTGGACGAGTTGCCGGTGGTGGTCGATTCGAGAGTCCTTTGCAGTGATCAGCCCATTGTTCGATTTACTCCTCCACCTTGGTGGTCAGGTTCCCTTGAACATCTTTTATTGGTTGCATCATCTTGGTTGATCTCTTCCCGGATAGAGACTTGGCTATCTGATATGGTGTCTTGATTTCTCTTTCGCTTGCGGCCTGTTCTACTTCAGTTGCCAGTGTGTTGTAGAATTGTTGTTTGTCTTTTCTAGCACTCTTCTTCACTTCTTTATTCAGTCCAGTGTACATTGAACTCAGCCTCTCCTTCTGTTGTCCACGCTTGCATTGGGCATCTTCTCTTTCACCATCCTTTCCTCGATTAGCTTCCAGGTAGGTGTCCGTTGAGAGCCATTCGTTGTCTTGTCTCTTCCTTCTTCCTAGAGCAGTTGTACACGTTTCCTTAAATATCGCTTTCACAGAGTTCCAATGTTCTTCCACTCAGGTTTCCTCAGTGATGCGACGTAGTGTGTTCGGTTTTGCTCTGAAATCTGTAGCGAAGGCATCCATTGTAGTTTTGTCCTTCAGTTTCTGAATGTTGAACTTGAATTACAGTGGCCTGTCTCCAGCTGTTTTCATGGATTTCAGTATCACCTTGAAGGTTCCTTGAACTAGATGATAGTCTGGGCCCACATCTGCTCCCCTTCTCGACTTTGTATCCAACAGGCTGCGTCTCCACTTCCTTGAGTGGCGTTGAGATGAAATCTATTTGATGTGGTTGTGTTCTCTGAGCTGGATAGTTAATTTGCTCAGAGAACACAACCACATCAAAATCATCCACCTGAGCTACAAATCTTCTCTATCGTATCGAAATCTATTTAGTTTGTGGTATGTTCGTCAGGCGAAATCCATGTTGCTTTGTGTATATCCTTGTGTTTGTACACGCTCCCTCCGATTACCAAATCGTTGAAAGAGCAGAAGTCTGAAAATAGTTCCCCGTTCTCATTCATTTCCCCGCATGAGAGCCTTTTGACACATGATGAGTTCTCTTCCTGTATTATTTGCTCCCAGTTTGGCTTGCATTCATATAGCCCATGAGGATTTTGATGTCGCCATTCGGGATGTTGTCCATTACTGTTTGTAGTTGTCTGTAAAGATCCTCCTTCTTCTCTTGTTCCGCGTTGTTTGTAGCATTGTGCGCAGCATTGGATAATTGTGACCTTTCTTCCTTCCTGTTGAGTTGAATCTTGCTGTCATGATCCTGGATAAAATTGGTTCCCACTGCATTTTGGGCTTTGGCTGCCACCGGTGACATCATGATAGCCACTCATTGCTTCAGTGTGCTCGTAGTTGTCGTCTGGGTGACCAGACCGGAGTAGATTACGGACTCTCCAGTTGACAGTTGGGATAATCCACAATCGTTCCATCTGCTCTCGCAGATACTCAGCACTTCTATGCCATATCTTCATATTTCATTGGCTACTTGGCAGTTTTCCCAGCCAGCCTCGTACATTCCACATACCCATTCTTACTCTTGCTTTCATCGTGAGAAGACACAGTCTGGCTGACTGGCTTCCCAAAGGCTTTCACCAGCCCTCGTCATCTCGCCTCTCAGATTCGGGTGAAGAATAAGATTTCTATTTGAAGTTTTTGTATTTTTAATATATTTTCTGTATGTTGAAGTTTCTCTAGCGGTTTGAAAGATTTAGTTGTGTGGGGTTGCTAGCCCCACGCCCAACCCTCCCTCTTTACCCGGACTTGGGACCGGCTAGAAAACTAGCGAGCTAGTTAACTAGGCAAGGTTCGTTATGTAAGATGTAACATTAAAATAACCTCTATTTCTACGGTTTATTAGTAAGAAAAGATTTGAACGTTTCAATCTCTTCATAGAAGAAATGCTAGGGTCCATGTCTATAGCTTAGTACTTGTCCTTCATTCCAGTTGGAGAGCATCTTTTTTCTTGAAACAAAGATTAACTGTTTGTATGCAGTATTCAAGATTAGGTCTTACATAAGCTAAACGTAGGTTATCTTTATCAAAGTATTCGAAAGCCCTGCAAAATGACCAAAGAATACGAAATTCTTCGGATATAGTTGCAGTATAACGTACTATTGCCTTCACCTTGTGGCTAACAGTAACTGGCACCTTTTGTTCCCAAGACCACTGTCTTTTGGATAATTAAGGCAGGACATTCAGTCAAGATGGGTTAATGTACTTTAGCTTAAAATATTTTCAGATTGAAGCATTTAGACTATTCGGTGTATTCATCTGTCTCTTTAGAGTGCTTACTTATATATATATATATATATATATATATATATATATATATATATATATATATATATATATATATGTTCACTTTGACTATGATTATGAACAATAAATTGTGTTCGAAACGTCATCCAGTAAATAATACTGTTTCACTGTGTGATATATCTAATAAACAGATTAATATGGAATTCACTTTTGACAGTTTGGAGAAATTTGAGCATTGAGTATATGATATTGATTATTATAAAAGTTTTTGTTTTTCCTAATGAATGGAAAATAAGATGATATTGTTTATCAGTATTGTCATGAATTACTTTCTAAACCTTCCTATTTGCAAAGTAAGTTAAAGGTGGCTTTCGTAAGTTCATTAAATAGAGCAGAAAAAAATCCTAGCATGGTTATTTCCGCATCGTCATTCAGAGCAGCTACTCTCACCCTTTGCCTTCTATCATGCATGTTTCTATCTATCTATATATCCGTCTATCAATAAATCTAAGACACCATTAAATACCTTACTAATATCAATAAACACCACCTACCCATTCCTCTCTAATTAGGCGAATTCTTCAAAAATGTACACCGGGATCTGAAACTATGCTGCTTTCCTGCCATCAAACCACGTGTCTTCATGTAGTTCAGCAGTTGCTAAAAGTTCTACCGGTTTGGGACTAAAGATGCAAATATTTGCCACTATCAAATTCACCCTTTATAATTAAGTTTATGACTCTCTCAAGGTAATTTAGCCCAAGGAGTACAGTCACTTTGTTTAGCTTTAAAATTTCCTTTGGATTACTAAATTTTCTCTTTGGGTACAACCACAGTATGTTGGAACAAAGTAATATTACTCGTCGAAAAAATACAACAAATTTTCATGTGGAATTCAATTTTACGTGAAACAAATGTCACCCACTGAAAAATTACAAATTGTGTATTACTGTTATTTATCGCTTTTGTATTATTAATTGAAATTACTGTGTGAATACATTTTTTGTCCTCACCTAGAATATTGAAAGTGAAAACTGTGATCTACTCAAACGTTTGGACCAAACGAATGCGGATGCTCGAAAAGTAAAGGCTGATGCCGAATTAGAGTTATGTAAAATGAGAGAGCAGTTAACGGAAAATGAAGCTCAGTTAACTGCAATGGCAGCAGCTATGTCTGTATCTCAACCATCCATACCCACTACTCCTTTACCAGAACTTGTTCGTACACAAGAGTTGGCACAAGTAAATTATTCCCTTTTTGTTAATAATTCCTTAGTGCTTTATCCAGTTTTTTAATTAGATATCTTCATCTATGCTTCGTTACTTCAAGAGAGTTTTGTCAGTTCAGTAGTGAGATTTCGCAGATGAAATACGCATGATAATCATCAAGGTATTAGTCTGTCAGTAGTCACTTCAAAGATACTAGCTGCAGTGGTGCTCTGCAGACAGGTGGAAAACTGAACCGTGAATACCTGGCTTGGTTTCGCTAAAATCGACAGTGAGTCGAACACATGTTGATGCTCCCACAGTTCCTAGAGCGTCGTCGCACTTACCACAGATCAGTAATCGTACTTTTTATATTAGGACTACCCTCGACCTACTCTACAAAACTGTTCTTTGAGATTGTTTCCCAACATCAGTAGTTTGAGGGCACTCACATCAGTCAGCAGTGCTTTTTGAATTGCGGGTTTAATCTTAACCTATTGTTCTTGCTTATTTTTAACTCGTATGTAAATTTGATTTTCTCTACTTTAGAGTTTATATGTGAGGAGAAATTAGAGATATATTGAGTCCAGAACACAGTGAGAGTGCCATCCAGTGAGATCGCCACTATTTTCTGTTGTAGCAGATATCCTCCTGGATAGCAGAAGAAGTATGAACCTTAAAACTTCTGACTAGAGCATAGAGCTTCAATAGCACATCTCCATTCTGTCCTGTTCGCTGCAGTCCTCTTTATCTGGTCCCACAAATATCCATAGGCTCTCATCTTCTCACATGATTTCTTCCACTTCACTCTCGGACTCACGCACAACTCGTCGTTTTCCCATTTGGGTCCAAATTCTAGGGCTTGGCGCTCGATGTCACTCAACGGTCTCCTCAGCATGTGTCCGATCCATCTCCACTTTCAATAGGTTCGTTCCCAGAGCTTCTTGTTGCTAATTCTTTCCGGCCAATTGATCCTCAATATGGAACCAGAGAAGGCAGCTATTGATAAAAGTCTGCAATAGCCTGTTGAAAATGTTTTCATCGGCGCGCCAAGTTTCTGACCCATGTGGAAGAATTGACTTAACATCGGTTTTGAAAATCCGAATCTTGTTCTTCATGATGAGTGCAGAAATCTCCAAACTGATTTTAGAGTAATGTTGTGCCTTGTCTTTCCGATACTGGTTTTGACATCCTCATCGGTTCCGGCCAGCAGCAGTTGAGGTGATGCTTCTTAGATAAGTGAGGGAAGTAACCTCTTTCAAATTTATTCCGTTGATAGTGACTGGTGCTTGTTGTTGGTTGGTTATCTTCATCACTTCCGTCTTCTCTATATTCACTTGAAGTTCTGTCTTTGCCGCATCTTTTGGCAACTTGTTGGTTTTCACCTCTAAGTCTTCGAGTGTATGTGATACCATATTTAAATCATCTGAGAAATCCATATATATATATTCATAAATTCATATATTTAACTCGTGTAATACAAGCTTTGTGTTTGTCTGCCTAAAAATTAGTCCTGTATTGTTTTATTTCTTTTATTCTAAGGCCATGTCCAATGATAATTGCTTATTGAAATCACGCATTGAACAACTTGATTCTGAATTGAGCCAACTACGCCAATCAAACATGAGGCAGCAGCAAGATCTACAGGTAATTATCTGTTGATGTGTCCAATGCTAAGAAAAATATTCAAAGTATAAAGGTATTTTATTTCACAAAGCCTTAGTGATAGGACTTTTCTTTCATATGATGATTATAGAAATAACAATATATTTTCAAATTCCTGTTTACGCATTTAGAAAAAAAAACTGCGGATTCAGTGAAGAAATATATTCCTTTTCAATTAGTTCCGCATTATCGACTGGCTAGCTCTACACTAATATATAGTATTGCACATCAACATGTTTTGCCAACAAAGTGGTTATTTTAGTTAATCAGTTTTAGTTATAGGTAAGGGGTGAAATCAAGAGGTTAAAGGTCATCAAAACAAATAACTAATAGGTATTAATAACAAGACACCTAAGTTTTAAAAGAGAGGTGCAAGTTAATTACGGAATTCAAGATAAGTTGATTCTTAAGCGTTAGCAACAGGTTATTACATAGTGTTATTACATAGGATGACTGAGTCAGCCTATTCTTCTCAGAAATCATTGCTATTTTACAAATTTCTTGATTATGTAATAACTTGTCACCAATGCCTAAGAGTTAACCGATCTTGAGTTCCATAGCTGATTTCAACACCTCTTTCAAAACTTAGGTGTCTTGTTACTAACACCTATTAGTTATTAGTTTTGATGACCTTTAACCTTTACATAGTCAAGACGTTTGTAAAATGATGATAACTAAGATAAATATTAACTTGTTTGTATTTTACGTAACTCCTCTGAGTCATCCCATACTTCTTAGTCATCACTGCTATTTTACAAATTTCTTCACTATGTAATAACTTGTCACTAACGCCTATGAATCAACTTATCTTCAATTCCGTAATTAACTTGCACCTCTCTTTTAAAACTTAGGTGTCTTGTTATTAATACCTATTAGTTATTTGTTTTGATGACCTTTAACCTCTTGATCTCACCCACCGCCTCTACCTAAAAGTGATTGACTAAAATAACCACTTGAATGGTATAAACATTTTGATGTGCAAAACTATATATTAGTGTATAGCTAGCCAGCCGATGATGAGGAACTAATTGAAAAGGAATTATATTTCTTCACTGAATCTGTTGTTTTTTTCTAAATGCGTAAACAGGAATTTGAAAATATATTGTTATTTCTATAATCATCATATGAAGGGAAAGTCCTATCACTAAGGCTATGTGAAATAAAATAATTTTTATATTTTGAATATATTTCGTTCAATAATAATATATAAACTATCTGTTTGTTAGTTTCTGATAAGGGGATTAATATATGGAAACTGGTTAAGGTTTCGATATATATTTGACCTCTTTAACATTTACGAATTCTAAATCATTCACTGATTTATAATGTCGATGTGAAATCCGACATCATTTTAATACGAAAGTAACTTTTAAAGTCTAAGGTTTCTACATTTTGGTATTCTACGCTAATTATATCTATCAAGTGTTTGTCCCTAGTGTTAAGTCCAGTGTTCAGAGCTTTCATCATTTAACCTCTTTGAAACACAAAACATTAAGAAACATCTGTTCTATCCCAATATTGAGAAAGTATCATATTCCGGTTATGCACTTCTCATTTGTTGTTGAAGTTATGAATTTTTCTTGCTTGTAACTGTTGTATTGTTTATTGCACCATTTGAACTTGACTAACTCTCATTCTTATTGTATTTTTCTAAGGTTTTCCGTGCGGAGAATCACAAATTACATGCGGAAAAAGAAGCAGCCCTAGAAGAATTACGATCGAAACGACAGACAGAGTATGCTTTTCCTTGCTCTTAACTATTTTCTTTTTTTAATGTAAGAATAAAATATGGACACTGTAGTAGTATGTAATCAGGCGAAGAGAGAAAGATTATATCAGTGAATTTCGGTTCATTATACCAATACTCAATAAATGTAGAAGGAATGATGCTTCAATACCAGTCCCTTATATATATGTGGTAAATCCTGTAGGAAAATAAGTGGAAATAGAATTGTGTAAAGAAAATTAGAAAGTCGTATGAATACCACAATATAATTATCAGCAATAAATTATGATCTAAAGGTCATCTATTGATTATCACTCTTTCGTATATCAAGTAAACTTATCTTAAACGGGATAATTTTTTGCCAAGTTCTCCAGTTTAATTGGTTGAAGGAGTTCATCATGAGCTGACATTAGTTAGAGAACCATTCGGAAACAAGCTGGGAGTACTGGACAGCTATTTCGCCCTAGTTTGGCACTCTTCATCTGTACGCATCCACCCAGGACCTTCTGGTTACAAGGCGAGCTCGTAGATCTTTAGGCCACTGGGATCCGATCCAACGGCCCATAAATTCTAGTTTCAGCCGATTCTCTAGTTTAATTCATCTATTTCTCATGGTATTTCTGGATGGTAAACAAACTAGCATTACCATAATATGTTGTCTTAACACTAAGGGGATATCGGGACGTAAGTAAAAAGTTTCAGCAAATATCTAGGAGAAAATGGAGATGGATTTGGCATACATTGAGGAGACCGTCAAATGACATCGCGGTCATTGCTCGAGTGGAATCCAAATGGGAAGCGACAAGTGGGTCGTCAGTGTGAGGGTGACATGGAGGAGATCGTGTGAGGAAGAGATGAGAGAGTTTAGTCAATCGTGGACCCAGCTGAAGAGGACGGCAGAAAACAGAAGAAAGTGGAGATGTGTTGTTCAAGACCTATGTTGCACTCGCAACCTAAGGGTATAATATATATATATATATATATATATATATATATATATAACAATATTATTTACGGGATTACATTTCGAACACAATTTACTGTTGATAATCATATTAATTATCACTGCTCACTACCTATCATAACTCAAAGTACTAGGCTTATTACATGATTTGAGTGGAGAATCAAAAGTTGTTCCAAATAAGAGAGGATGTATATCAAGAGTAATTGTAGATCGCCAGTTAATCGCCTAACTTAAATCATGAATATCAAGTTTTAGTTTCCATCGTCATAACACGGATTTTTAATCTTACAACCAAAATACTAGTCACTCATAGACTTCTTTTTGTCCAGTCAATATCATATAGAAGAACCGTACACGTTGTGTTTTGTACCATTGTCACAAGCACATATAGATTGTAATTGTATCACCGTATCTTTCCAATTCTATGAATTCAAGTCTTTGGCACACTCTTAATTTGCACCTTTTACGGCAATAAATATACCATAATCGGATATGAATTAAATGCAAGTATTTTATTTTTAAATCACAATATTTTTGCATTCTAAGATTTCATGGTGATTTGTTTATATGTGGAATAATGGAGAATCTGTTCATTACGTATATTTATATATATTTCTTTTTATTAGGCAAGCTGAGAATGAAGCTGCACGTATGGAATTGAATCTTCGCTGCCGCGAATTAGAGTTAGAAAAACAAAAAAATCAGGTTTGGCTATTTTATTACTTTTTTTAAAATGTCTATTTGAAATATGCTGTCTCATTTGAAATTTCGTTTCAATTATGAATATTTACTCATTCTGATTAGTTACTATGGTCTAACTTGTTTTCGGAGAATTGAATGCAGAAAATAATACAGAAAGAATTCAGCGCTTTTAAAGCGATATGATAATATTTGTACGAGTTGATCATGGACTGATATCAGTTAGAGAACCATTGAAAACCAGGGAGTACTGGACAGCTGCTGTTTCATCCTAGTTTGAGAATCATCGGCAGTACGCACCCACCACAGTGAGGTTCGAACCCAGGACCTTCCGGTTACAAGGCAAGCTCGTATACCATTCAGCCACTGGGACCCGATTCAATGGCTGATGAATTCTAACTTCTACCAATTCGTGATCAACTCGTAAGAACATAACTAACCCTTACAAACCAAACTACAGAATATATAATAGGTTAAAATAGTGTTGTTTTTACCGCCTGTGTGATCAGCAATTAGGGCTGCACACATTCAACTTAATATCTAGTAGTGCACTATTCCCTAGCTGTGTAAATTTGTGTATACCGTTGTGAACACTTCTTCGCATTGATTTGTCTAAACAGTCAGTTACGGGGTCCTTAATATTTTATGCCTATAATATCATCTACTGTCTATATGTGATCTTAACTTCCTCTTCATTTGTTCTAGTAAACTTTCATCCTTACAATCTGGTAACTTTGAAAAAGAAGGCTAGTACTGTTCGGAGGATAGCACTAATTATGAAGTAGGTTCTATGTCATTGCCCCACTGAAAGAGATGCCTACTGAGTACATCCTTTGAATGAATATTCTATAACCAAACACCTCTGGCCGCTTCATGGCAGGAAACATCTGCACCAAGTATGATTGACTAAGGGTGTCCACTTCGAAATTTTCTGTTCAATTTCGATGATAGTTACGTGTGTGTATATAAATCTCTCAATTGACTTCGAAGAAATTTACCTCCCAAAAGATTATTTAGTTGTTTTTGAGCACGTAGATAAAAAAAATAAATCGTTGGAAGGTCTGCGAAGCCCTAAGGCATTTGACTAGCATTACCTTAGTAACAACATCATAGGCATTTGAAGTGTCATCAAGTAAGTAAGTAGTAAGAAGTCTTTGATGACTAATTTTTTATTTATTTCAACTTTACAGGAATTATCGATGTCATTGTCTGAAGTGAGAGCTGAGCTATCTCGAAGTTTACAACAAGAAAAACGTCAAACGGAAATTATCGGAAGCCTTGAATATCAATTTGCTGTAAGATTCCTTCTATGTAATTTTATTCTGGCTTTTGCTTTCTCATTTTTACATCGTCCACCGAGCTAGATTCTTAAAAATCACTAGTCGTTACACATTCCTTAAAACCAATGGCATTAGTGTTGAACTATTTGTTATTATTATTATTTATTCCGAGAGGAACATGGAGCTTCAAAAGCACAGCTCCATTGTACTTCATTCTCTCTCCATATATGCCCATCTTCCTACTCCCTACGGTCTAATGCGTGATTTAATCCAGCACTGTCAGGAAAATCATTTAATAAGGAACTATATGGACAAATCGATGGTGTAGCAATGGCGTCACCACTAGGACCCATTCTAGCCGACATTTTCCTTGCGAAACTAGAAAATGAACCTTTGAACGATGTTATTAATGAACTCGAATTCTATTGTCGGTACATGCATGATACATTTTTGATTATGAAAAATGAAAAGGAAGCAAAGAACATCCTGGATAAATTTAACGAGGTTCATCCTGCAATACATTTTACTATTGGGAAAGAAAAAGACTATAATATTTCATTTCTAGGCGTCCTTATGACCAGAAAAGAGGATGGCACAATAAGAAGAAGTGTATATAGAAAACCTACATTTTCTCAGCTTCGTGCACTTGAAATACAAACGCAATCTGATAAAGTGCTTGGTTCACAGAGCAAGAGCAATTTGCTCGGATGAATGTCTTGATGAGGAACTTAATAATATTAAACGGTTGCTAAGTGAAAATGGTTATCCAGAAAAGTTTATTGATAAGAATATGAATCTAAAACCAAAGCAGCCCAAGTTACCAACACTTCGTAAAAGGGTCTTATTCTTACAAATTCAGTTCCTTTGGGACAACATCAGCGAGATACTAACACAGCACCTTAGAAATGCAATAAAAAGAGCATTCCCTGCTGCCGAATTACGCTATATCTTCAAAACCACTTCTCTTTTGCGTTCGGGAATAAAATACAAACTGCCTAATTTCGCGTCTTCCATGTGTATCTACCAATTTGACTGGCTCCTGTGGAGCCAGTTACATAGGCCGTGCAGTTAGGCGTGTTTCTCGTCGAATTTCCGAACATCACCCTGTGTGGTTAAGCAAGGGACAAAAAAAATCTATTCGCAGCGCTATTCTATCTCATCTTGTTGATACAAAACACAAGATTGACGTTAACAAAGCTTTCAGGGTTCTTTACCGCGTACCAACTAATCTTAACTTCGCCGTAAGAATTAGATTACTGCATATTGCTGAGGCTGATGGGATCCACAATAAGAAGCCTAATTTGTGCGTGCAAAAGAAGTTCTGACATTATCCTTACCTTGGCCATCTAGGTTTGAATGGTCCTGAATTTCTGTAGAATTTTCCTAACTTTAGTTGATATTCTATTTACTACCATATCTTTATTATTATTATTATGATTATGATTATGGTTTATGCATCTTTAATGAACTGTAATTGCATTGATCTTACTTTACAAATCGATGTTATTTAAAAAGCACTACTATAGTCATTGACTACTATTATAGAATATTCTATGTATATAAAAATATATATAATTGTAGAGCCAGAAGAGGAATTTATCGAAAAGGATATTCTTTGCTGAATTATTTTGTGTTCTACAGATGTCTGAATGAATATTTTTGCTATATAGAAACCAAATACGCAGAAATCCAATCACACAGATTCCTTAAAACCGATATATATATATATATATATATATACATATAGGATATGTATGTAATATGCTAGTTAGGACTTCACTTTGTATTTCTATGCATTTTCATCCAGATTTCGTGGAATTCTTCTATATAATACATCATCTGCTCATTACTTCTTCCGTGAGAATTATCACTCCAGATAACTACATTTGATTCATCTGTATTTCTGACAGTAAATCTTTTCTGCCTCTACAGATGTTGCTTTCAGACTAATACAAAAGGCTTCTTTTGTTTAATTGACATGTTTGTAACCTGCCTACCTTTCCATTACTTTGCTTTTTTTCTAGGAATTGAATGCTCAAAAACAACGTCTCCTAGAAAGTGCTAATCAGTCTAAAATGGTTAATGAAGCAGCCACTAGTGAATTAAGAGCACAAGTCGCCAATCTTTCTAATGATTTAATGCATGTTACAAGTGAATTGAACACTGCTGAACAAAAAGTTCACGAATTAACCTGTCAGTTGGAAACAGTTAAAAAGTCATTAAATGATAATAAAGAATTGAATGGTGAATCAATCATAGTAAATATTAAATCAGAAGAAGTATGCGTAAGCAAAGAAGAAAATGACAAGACAGAAGTATATGAAAATCTTCGTAATCGTTTATCTGAAGTTGAAAGTAACTTAGAAACTGCTGAAAAAGAACGAGTAAAAATTTACAATCTTTATCAAACTGCTCTTAGTGAAATTGATTACCTCAAGGTGAATATTCATTTAAAGTTAAAAGTTACTTTTTTATTAATGCCTAATAATTATTCCTTCACGTTCCCAGTGGAACATAGGGCTTCAAGCTAGAGGCTCAAAGTTTCGGTAGCAGTGGTGATTACTTTTACAGGATGGGGTTGCTTGCCTCATACCCAACCTTCCCTTTTTGCCAGTTCTATTACTGGCTTAGCGAGGTAAAGGAGTGCGTCGGCCGGGGATCGAACCCCGGACCATGTGCATCGTAGGCGAGTGTCCTAACCGCTGTGTCACCGACGTTTTTTATTATTGTATAATGATGAAAATTATTAATCCACGTTTTATCCCCTTTAGAATGCAATAGACACTATAGTAGTTTTAGTTATTTATTCACCTCAGTATTTTGTCAATCATCATCTAGTGAATTTGTGAATATTGCGGTCGGTGATTGCCTGTTGTACCTTGTGTAAAATGATAAATCTAAACTCATAAGAATATTCTACTAGTTTGCTCTCGTAGGTATTATTGTGAAATATCAAGTTTTAAGATATGCCGATATGTATGTACATTGCTATCAGTATGTCAGTTTGCTTCTAGTTTTTTGTTTTTCTCTGGAGAATTGTAAACAATTATTTACGTAAATAATTACAGGTTGTGAAAATCCGACTGGAGATTTGATTTTTGGAGTGGTAGCTCTTTCTCTCTATGCTTAGGAATTATATTTATGACGAAATTATTCACTGTATTGAATTAGAGAGATATTTCATCTCTGTCACACGAAATAATTGTGCATAAAAACAAAAGGTTAAACCTGTAATTTAAATTCTGAGTGTCATGTATATTTGACAGAATGGAACAAGGACACCTATACAGCACATGTTGATTTTTATAACTGATAATATCCTTAGTATTTCTGAGCTATTCATATATATTTGTTGGGATAATCACATCTAGATTTTTAGTTCATTTGTAATCCTGATGTATTCAATGAATAAACAGCTCAATGGCATGCTGAACACCATCATCAAGTGAAATTTGCTCTAGCTAAACTTGGCAATAAGAGTGAGATAGTCAATCAATTTTAAAACGTCTTTAAAAAGATGTAGAATTGATGTTAATCTTATTTTGTTCACTGTGACATTCATTTATTTACATGCAATGAAGCTGCTGATAAAATGCAGTTTTCTGAACACCTTGAGCAGAAATCTTAGTATGTTTGGTATGTGCTTCTCCCCTGTCAAATGTAAGATGTTGCAATGACTCCTGGTTTACTGATAGGAAGTGAAGTGCTGGGGTGTGTTGACCACTTTAATTGTTTGGGAAGTATCATCGACCGTTAAGCCCTGGTTGCTGACGAAATCTCAGCTCTTTTGGCATTCACCGACTTACGTCATGTTTGGCGTAGATATGATGTCCAGTTATCGATCAAAAACATGTGTACTGAGCAGCAGTTCGTTCTGTCCTCCTTTATTACTGTGAGACATAGTCATTAAAAGTGGACGATTTGAGAAGCCTAAATTTATGTGACTATATATGTTTGCTTTCTATCCCTCCTTTTAAGTGGTATGTCATGGTGAGTAATCTTGAGGTGAGTCGTTGAGCTTAAGGTGTGGAGGCAAAGTAAGTCGATGAAGTTGTGTAGCTAAATTAATTGACATGGTTAGGACATGTGTTACGCATGTCGCTCCATCATCTCCCTCGATGGGCAATATTAGCTGACAGGATCAATTCGGAAAAGACCTAGTGGTGATCAAACCAGGATCTGACATCAGTCCATGAAGTCTTTCACAGTTGGTTAGGACCATGTAGGGAGGTGTAGGTTTCTTGGCTAGGGTCTTCGGGATTCTAAGAACCAATGGCTACAGACTATTGATGGTATGGCTCAAAATCATTGTGAGTGCTGCAGATACATTCATGTTACTATGCTTTCTCCCTCAATTTTGTGCTTATTATAATCCTTTTGAATTCGATTTTTCTCTTTGCTGCCTTTGTGTGCTTCATGGAGTGTGGCAACTTGAAGTGGTGCACATCTGTACAAAGTTCTATGTTGAAACCCAGTCATTTGTCATTTGAAGGTGTTTATTCTTTCCTAGAGTTTGGAGGGCTGTTAAGAAAACAAAAACCTAGATTTACTAATAAATATCTATGACGTATTGTGCCTCTCCCAACATGGATTATTATAATGTAATTTTGATAGATTTCCACGAACACGCAAATACTTAGGACTGTATGCGTGTCATGACTTAGAGATCTGTTGATATACTTATCGTTCCAAACTTTTAACCTTGACATTCCAGTAGTGGTGTTTTCGTTTTTTTTACCGAATAGGGTGGCTAGCCTCACGCCCACTCTTACCTCTTCTCCTGGCTTGAATATCAGCTAGTAAACGAAACGTGCAGTTTAAGGTTTAAATGGAAATTATTTTCTCTATTTCTTTATTTCAGTCTAAATTATTGGAAACTGAAGAGGTTTTGGCTAAATTAGAAGGGGCTGCTGAAGAAGAAGAAAGCAAATGGCGTCAGTTGTTAGCTGAAAGTGAAGAAGAACAAAATCGACTTCGGAAACAATTATCAGATTCTCAGGCAATATTGGAAAATGTAAGTTTATACAATTGATTTCATCTTGTGGTAATTAGTTAATTAATACTTGTTTCAGTGGTTGGAGGATTTCATCATGGGCTGACATCAGTTAGAGAACCATTGGGAATACTGGACAGTTATTTCGTTCTAGTTTGGGACTCTTCGTCAGCACACACCCACTGGGGTTTGGACCCAGAACCTTCTGACTGCAAGGCTAGCGAGCTCGTAGACCATTCAGACACTGGGACCCGATCCAGTGGCCCAGAAGACCTTGGGTCCAAACTCCGGTGGATGCGTGCTGTTGGAGAGTCCAAAACTAGGACGAAACAACTTCCCAGGTTTTCCAGTGGTTTTCTAACTGATGTCAGTTCATGATGAAATCCTCCAATCAATCGAACAAAATCCGTGCAAAACAAATACTTGAAAATTAATACTTGTGCTTTAATTTTCTGACTGAATATCTTAGTACTAATTTACCTTCTTATGGTTTCACTGGAAACTTATTCGCTTTTGGATAAAGAATGCCATATCATTTCTTATCATTTAATATGCTTATTTTTAAATATTTTGTAAGTTAATTCTTTTCTGTAAATAAATACACTTGATAAATGTTTTCTAAATAACAAAAGTTTTCTTTATGTTTCGCTAGTTGTCTCCAACTTCTTTTAAATTTCAGGTTAAGCCGCAAAACTCAAAAAGTATTTATTTTAAAATAGGTGTATTACGCGTTTTAGTAAAAAAAAAAACTGAATTGTTGGAAGTTCATTGTGAAGCACAAGTTTTCTAGACATCTGTGTCTCCATATTATATAATTTCTGACACAATAGATATCTTGCATTTGTCAAAACAACAATAAGTGCTGTGCTGAATCTGTCAATCACTTCTTTCATCTTTACTAGCATAAGTGCATATATTGAGTTCAGCTTCAGGAAGCTGGGTGCGTGTTTCCCTGATGCTTACAATATCAGTTATTTGTGATATTCTCTGAAATATAATTATTATTTAGTAGTTTTTCAATAAGCAACAATCTACCTCTTCTTTGTCGTGGCGCGTGCTTTAATAATTTAAACAAAATTCATTCATCTGAAGCTAGGCGGCCAGTAAATTCATACATTCGATTCATTGCGAAGGCTTTTTAAAAATATCCTCTCTACCCTGTTATCTACTTAAATGGGTTTTTTTTCTCAGAATCTCTCCTACTGTGCGAAATATTTTTTAACTCCCCTATTTTCCGCATATGCTTTTCGAGTGATTTTGTTAATTTCAACAAAGAATTCTGTTTGTTTTTTTATAGAAAAAATTTAAGCTAGTTTCTTTTCATTATAGTTATTTCTTCATGTATCCCCACATACCTTTACGTTTCAGTCTATTTTATCGAAGTAGATCAATTTTTATAATGCCTGTTTAGGCTGCATCAGAACCGATCAGCATAATCTACATGTTCTGATGTACAAATATGCGATTCTTCAATATTTGCATTAGAAACATATGCAAGACACTCATATTTTATGGATCATCATCAGCCCCAAAGGGTTGATCTCCGACGAAATCTCAGCACGAATACAGAGGGCTAGTTTCGCATATGCCAGTTTACGCCGCCTCTGGCGTAGACGTGATATCTGACTATCGGCCAAAGGGAGTGTGTACTGCTCAACAGTCCGCTCTGTCCTCCTTTATGGCTGTGAGACCTGGCCATTGAGAGCAGAAGACATGAAAAGATTAGCTGTCTTCGATCATAGTTGTCTGCGTTGAATCTCCTGCGTGAAGTGGTATGATAAGGTAAGCAATATTGAGGTTAGGCTCCGAGTGCTAGGTAAGGCGGGGAAATCAGTCGAGGAGACTGTGAAATTAAATCGACTGAGATGGTTAGGACATGTGTTACGTATCCCTAGTCATCGCCTTCCTCGACAATGGGCAATGTTAGCTGACATAGGGCCAGGCTGGGAAAGAGCTAGCGGCGGTCAAACCAAAATATGGCACCAGTCAATGAAATCTACAACAGTTAGTCTAGGCCACGTAGGAAGGTGTAGACTTCTTGACTGGTTGGGGCCCTCGGGACGGTAAAAACCAATGGTTGGAAACAATTGGTGACATAGCTCAAAATCGTTCACGATGATGGCGCAGATGCATCCACTCCTTGTGACTCATGATTTCCAATTAAACTGTTTTGTTCTTCGTTATTACTATTCCTTTGTCTCACACCTCTGTTTACTGTCTATATTATGCATTCCTCCTACTTTCTTCTCTTGCTTTATGTGCTACATGGAGTGTGGCGACTTGAACTGCCGCATATGTGTGCAAAGTTCTATGTCGAAAACCAACCGACCGACCGGACCATCTCACCCATTCGCTATCCAGACATCTCAGTTGAGTAAATAGGCTCCTGAATGCTTCAGTATTTTATAGTTCGGTTGAAATTAGTTATCCGGAAGAGACTTCTCACGTACCAGATGGTGGTACCGCACTTATTGCATGAAAGCTGATAATACTTACTAATTGTGTAGGCTGAAGTGAGTAGAGTGGTGGGATTTGAATCCTTGATCTATTAGTTGAAAGAAAAGTGCTTAAGCTAATTGGCCATCAGTGGTTTCTTAATGAAATTAGTCAGTACCACAGATGGTTATCACGCCTAGCAGCCAAATGTTGAAGATTGAATTCTGAACGTCAGTTGAGGAACAATATTCTTTCTTATCCAAGGCAGCATATCTGTATTCGTTTAGTTTCTGCTAAGCCATAACCCATGTAGTATCAAAAGAAGTAAACAGACACTGTTTCTGTTTGTGCATAGATAAATAATTGTGTTTTAAACGCATTCAATTTTGAGGTGACTCACTTGTTTGTTGTACACCTGAAATAAGCATTGAGTTAAAATTTGTCTACTGTGATCTCTCTATATGATTGTAAATAAGATGCTATTCGTCACACTGCATTCTGCCTCATGTTACAATTGGTTATATTTCAGAATTTTCTATTTTAGCAGGAATGTTCATAATTTAGACTTTGGGTCGGATGGGATTTTGGTCAGTTTCAAGGTAAATTTCGTCATGAATCGGTGTCACTTAGAGAACCATTGAAAATCAAGTGTCACTGTATGTGATTTCTAATGGGGTTACGAGCACCAACTGCTATAGAAGCATCGGTGGTTCAATGGTGGAATGTTTGCCTACCACGCTGGCGATCCGAGTTCGATTCCCGGCCGACGCACTTCTTTACCCCTCCCTCAGTCGGTTATAACCCCTACAAAGAGGGGAGGTTGGGTGTGAGGTTAGCAATCCCACCCCGTAAAAAAGCACCACTGCAACTGAAAATACAATGCTATAGCTTGAAGCCCTGTGTTCCACTGGCAACGCAAAGGAATGAAAAAATTGCTAAAGCATGTCAAAGTATGATAAAAAGCAGCTGTCCAGTGTTCTCTTAATCCTCACAGTTCAACAGTTGATGTTGGTTTGTAACGAAATCCATCTCGGTATTTCTAATTTAGTTTTAGAGTTTATAACAAGATTTACAAATTATATACATCATATTGTATGTGACAGATTGACTTAATTCACGTGTGCTTCTTCTCTTCATTATCCAATTATTATCTTTTATTTACACGTAGACTTCTGGAGAACTCAATAAAGTCGAGGTTAAACCCACAGCAAGTACGCATAATAAAGAAAAGAAAAAGAAGAAATCTAAGGCACATAAATCAGTGAGTTTTTAATGCTAACTTGTCTACCAAACTTTTCCATTTAAACATCACACATATAACATTTGTATACACAGATTTTTCAAAGGAGCAAAACAGAGTGAATAAATATTGTTGCTCCAAAGTGATAGCTTGCGTGCATCTCACCTCGATCATTAGGTGTATTCAGTGGGAGTGACTAATAATTAATTGCAATCGTGTTCGCTTTCACTTCAGATAGTATTCAAATTATCTCTATCATAATGTTTCAATACTAGGCTTCACTTTACATCAGTTACCTTAGAAAGAACACTTAAGTCTGTTTTGCTGCGAACTGTACATCAAACATACAATATGATCCAATAGTGATATTTGACTTTGAATTTATGTGATATACCGTTTGAATCCATGGCACATCATTCTCGATGTTTTTCCCCTAATAAATGCCTTTTTGTTATAAACAAAGATTAGAACCAAAATAATTTGGAAGAAATGCGAGATAGAGAATGCTCTATTTTTCAGTTATCTAGTGACGACTTAATAACTGACCGACTGTCTGGTTTCAACGTATAACAACTTTGCACAGATGCGCAGTAATTCGAGTTGCCACACTCCCTCCATGTGGCATACAAAGCCAGAGAAGAGAGTAGAGAAAGATTCAAAACAGAGATATTAAACAGAAATATGCGGGAAAAAGAATAGTAATATGGAAGAACGGTAGGATTTTATTGGATATGATAAATCACAAGGAATGGATGCATCTACGCCCAGCCATAGACAACGATTTTGAGCTATATCACCAATTGTCTGCAGCCAAGTTAATGAATTAGAAATTACGACCGTTGGTTTTCATGTACTATCTAAAGTGTGATACCATCTACATGTATTTCGTCTAGGTGCAGTACAACTTGTTAGTTAGTAGTCAGTAGTGAAGAAATCAAGTGCACTATGGAGGTACTATGTTCAACTACATCTTTATCTCTTAAAGTTATGAGAGAAATTGATGTCACCCAGAAAAAACGTATTTCCTTCACTTCCCTATGCTGCTCACATTGTCATCATTAGAATTCTGCATTATTTCGAGTTTTTATGCGATTCTGCTATCAAAAACAGTTGTTATTTGTCTGTCTGTCTGTCTGTTTTCGACATAGAACTTTGCACATATGTGCGGCAGTTCAAGTCGCCACAATCCATGTAGCACACAAAGCAAGAGAAGAAAGTAGAAGAAATGCAAAATATAGACAGTAAACAGAGGTGTGAGACAAAGGAATAGTAATAACGGAGAACAAAACAGTTTAACTGGAAATGATAAGTTACAAGGAGTGGATGCACCTGCGCCACTGAGAACGATTTTGAGCCATGTCGCCAATTGTTTCCAACCATTGGTTTTTACCATCCCGAGGGCCCCAACCAGGAAGTCTACATCTTCCTACGTGGCTTAGATTAACTGTTGTGGATTTCATTGATTGGTGCCATGTTTTGGTTTGACCGCCGCTAGCTCTTTTCCAGCCTGACCCTATATCAGCTAACATTGCCCGTCGAGGAAGGCGATGACTAGGCATACGTAGCACATGTCCTAACCATCTCAGTCGATGCAATTTCACAGTCTCGTCGATTGACTTCCCCGCCTTACCTAGCACTCGACGCCTAACCTCAATATTGCTCACCTTATAATTCCACTTCACGCGGGAGATAGAACGCAGACACCTATGATCGAAGACAGCTAATCTTTTCATGTCTTCTGCTCTCAATGGCCAGGTCTCACAGCCATAAAGGAGGACGGAGCGGACTGTTGAGCAGTACACACGCCCTTTGGTCGATAGTCGGATATCGCGTCTACGCCAGAGACGGCGAAAACTGGCGAATGCGAACCTAGCCCTCTGTATTCGTGCTGAAATTTCGTCGGAGATCAACCCGTTGGGGCTGATGGTACTTCCCAAGTAAGTGAAGCGGTCAACGTGTTCTACCACTTCACTTCCTATTTCTAATCTAGGGGTCGATGAAGTCCAATCCTGCAGCATCATCTTACATTTTATAGGGGCGAATCGCATGCCAAACATGCGGAGGTTGTTGCTCAGGGTGTTCAGTAGACTCTGCATTTTGTCAGAGTCCTCGCCTAGAAGGGCTATATCGTCTGCATATTCTAAGTCAACGAGATTATTCCCTGGTAGCAAGTCAATCCCTGAGTCGCTGAAGTGAGTTAGGGTTAAGTCCATTAGTACATCTATGATGAAATTGAATAGGAATGGGGATAATGGGCATCCTTGACGGACGCCACTAGTCGTCACCACTTCAGATGACAACTCGCCATAAGCCCTCACCTGGCTGCATGAGTACGAGTAGAGTGCCTTAATCAATGCAATGTATTTTCTTGGCATTCCCTTTACAGCCAAGCATCGCCAGAGAACCTCCCGGTCGACAGAATCGAATGCCGCCTTTAGGTCAAGAAATATAATGATTGTCGGACGCCGGTAGGAATGCCTATGTTCTAGAATCTGTCGAAGGGTGAAGATGTGATCAATACACCCTCTACCTGGCCTAAAACCTGCCTGGTTTTCTCGTGTTTGTGTCTCCCGAGCACCACTTAATCTACGCAGTATTATTGAGCCTAGGATTTTAGATACTATATTAGTCAAGCTAATCCCTCTGTGATTATCACAAGACGACTTGTCCCCCTTCTTGTATATCGGGATGATCAGTGACTTACACCAACCCGATGGGACTTCCTCTGATTCCCAGACGCTGCCTAGAACCTCCGTTAACGCAGACAGTAAACTGTCGCCTCCGTACTTAAATACCTCTGGAGTCAATAAATTTAGCTCTTAGTTATTTAGCTCTTAGTTATACTAGTTTCAGATTTTCCATCTTGGAAAAATCGAGTTTCTTTAATATTTTAGGAGATTGAGTGTTTGTCATCTGATTCCTACATGTTATCGGAGATTTTTTAGATAGGCATAAAGACTTTTATAAGCTTTTTTTTATGAATTTCCCTTGTATGTATATTCATTTCTAAAAGCTTCTTATATTACTGTTATAGGTTGAACCGCCGTCAAACATACTCCCACAATCGAATAATGAGAAGATCGCAGTTAACATTCAACCTACTGAGGTGAATGTTGTATAAGTATTAGAGTGACAATTTATTATTGATAGACATACTTACATACAACGAACTACTTTAGAGCATTTCAACTCCATGAGTACTTATACACTTATACATAAATATATACATATATGTCACCGTGGTTTTTACATGCATACATACACCTTTAAAGAGGTTGTGTAATTCTTCCTTTGTTTCAATTTCTCTTCTGTATGACTCTTTTATTTATTTCATTTCAAATATGTGTGTCCGCCACTATTCGCCTATACATATATAAATATCAGGCCAGTACATTTTGTTTTTTCAATTTTTATGGTGAATAAAATCATTAGATCAAAATTCTGTTTTTGTTTGCCTTTCTTTTCCCGTCTGACAATCAACTACAACTTCACAAAATGCTGATTTTCTATCGAATGTAAAATTTCGGTTATATACAACAAGCTAGTTAAAATGTATCGTTAGTAGAGTTTCTCTTGAACAGCCTGTTATTCCAGATATCATCATCTATGTATGTGGGATAGGAGAAACATCATACCGCGTTGTACACCGCTTTCCCCTGTTAACGCGAAAATTTCCCTAGCAAAGGACAAAAATCTCCAACAGTCATCATCTTTCATTTATTTAACAAATCAGCGGATTTTTCTATAGTTGGTTTGTAAGGATTATTTTTGTTTTTACGAGTTGATCACGGATTGATATCAGTTAGAGAACCAGTATTCCCTTGTTTTCAATGGTTCCCTAACTGATATCATCAATCCGTGTCCAACTCGTACAAGTCAGAGGATGTCATATGCATGGATAAACACTTATCAAAGGCACTCAACGGAGTGAAATATGCCACGTACCGACATAATCCGTTCCAGTTATCATTGGTGATATTACACGTAAATTACCAGAATTAAATCTAAATGTAACAATAAGTGGAGATTCTATGAATTTTATGAATCCTTTTAAACTTAATCTTACTTCAACTAAGGTTGTTTGTCCGGCAGCGCAGTACCTTGACATCAGTAATTTATTTCAGTTTCTGAGTTTATAACATTAAAAGTTGCATGCATAGCAATAAAGTTTGTTTACAGGATTTTCATCATGAGCTGACATTAGTTAGAGAACCATTGGCCCATGCCATTGGATTGGGTCCCAGTGGCTTAATGGTATACGAGCTTGCCTTGTAACGAGAAGATCCTGGGATCGAACTCTGGTGGTGGGTGCGTACTGATGAAGAGTCCCAAACTAGGTTAGAAGCTTTAGAATGATATAAGGCTGTTAAGCTAAATAACCCGAAATAGAAGTGAAATGGTTTTAAATTTATTCAGTAGAAAACCCTTTTTTAAGCTTCCGATTAGTGGGAAGTTAAGACCAAATTCCGTTTTAAAGCTTTGAGTTTACACTAAAGTCAGACATAAATCTTCGGTGTTTAAACAAATCAGGCTTTATGCCAAGATTCCAACCTCAGTTGCTCATCAGCCTTCAAGAGACGGGTTCCGGGCAGAAAACACGCTTCACTTACTTTGATCCGGACAATAGGGTAGTATCATAAGTTCTCATGCATTCAATTTGAATCATAGTTTAGTATACAGGCTTATACTGGATTGCTTATCAGCATTAGCAGTGAAGTTGAGTCGATCAAGAAATACAAAAAGCAACAAAGTGATCCAGTTGTCAAATGTTTCGTTTTACGTGCAACCTGTCAGTGTTATCAGTTTCAGCAAACCTTTTGTTACCTGACAAGCCACACAGATGTTATATAATTTCCGAATTCGCATTTACGCATTTAGAAAAAAACTGCAGATTCGGTGAAGAAATATATTCCTTTTCAATTAGTTCCTCATCATCGGCTGGCTAGCTATACACTAATGTATAGTTTTCCACATCAAAATGTTTTATCAACAATGTGGTTATTTCAGTTAATCAGTTTTAGCTATGGATGGTGGGTGAAATGAAGAGGTTAAAGGTCATCAAAACAAGTCACTAATAGGTATTAGTAACAAGACACCTAAGTTTTAAAAGAGAGGTGCAAATTAATTACGGAATTCAAGATATAAGATGATTCTTAGGCGTTGGCAACAAGTTATTACACGAAATTTGTAAAATAGCAGTGATGACTAAGAAGTATGGGATGACTCAGAAGAGTTACGTAAAATACAAACAAGTTAATATTCACCATAGTTACCATTATTTTACAAACGACTTGACTATGTAAAGGTTAAAGGTCATCAAAACAAATAACTAATAGGTGTTAGTGACAAGATATCTAAGTTTTGAAAGAGGTGTGGAAATCAGGTATGGAATTCAAGATAGGTTAACTATAAGGCGTTGGTGACAAGTTATTACATAATCAAGACATTTGTAAAATAGCAATGATGACTGAGTCATCCTATTCTTCTCAGACATCATTGCTATTTTACAAATTTCTTGATGATGTAATAACCTGTTGCTAACACCTATGAATCAACTTATCTTGAATTCCGTAATCAACTTGCACCTCTCTTTTAAAACTTGGGTGTCTTGTTGCTACTACCTATTAGTTATTTGTTTTGATGACCTTTAACCTCTTCATTTCACCCACTATCCATAGCTAAAACTGATTAACTGAAATAACCACTTGAATGGTAAAACATTTTGATGTGGAAAACTATACATTAGTGTATAGCTAGCCAGCCGATGATGAGGAACTTATTGAAAAGGAATATATTTCTTCACTGAATCTGTGGTTTTTTCTAAATGTTATGTAGTTTGAGGACAAATTATTTAATGTCATCAGAACATAAGTGAGGTTTAGCTGAATGTACCAAGATAGGTAATTTAGAAAAAACTCAGCTATTGCTATGTATACTTTAATATAAAAGCACAAAACAAAATGAGGCATAGTAATAGTCCTAAGGAAGGTGGAGCGAGAGAGAGAGAGAGGCTGATCACCGAATCGAACAAACACCCAACACGTGTACCAGTATGGGACATAGAAATTTTTTTTACTACTTTTTATTAAAGATCACCTACACATAAGAAATTTCTCATGTAACAGCTTATGAGTAACACTTTTTGTCTGAGGGAATTCGCCCAGATTTAAGTTTATGGAGTGGGAACTAAACCTGGAACTCACTGCCAGAAAGTTAATTGCGAAAGTTCGTGAGACGCATCTGTAATCTGATTTGTTATTTTTAGTACGAATAAACTATCAAATTACCAGACACCTTACTGACACGGGAAATACAGTGAAAACTAGTCAGGCTTTCAAAATAATCAATACACAACGAAAACCTTGGATACTTCGCTTCACAGAAGCCATCGTTATCAAAAGACTTCCATCCAATCTATGCATACAGAAAGAGAGAGAGTGTGTGTGACTAATCTCTCATTACCCCCGTAACCATAATTGTTATGTTCGTGTGCTCTTGTGTTTTGTTCTGTTGCATAACGTTCCACCCAATCTTGATTTTGATTTCCACTCACTGAGTTGAACTCACTATCAGGGTCTAAATCAACTAAATTGGATTATTTTATCTATTTTATAATTTTGCTTCACAATTCACTCCCACCCTCATGAAATCTCCACCATAATATGTATAAATTCACTCTATTGTTCTATCTTGTATTTTGTCTGTGGTTTATCCTTGTTTGCAAGAGAAATCTGAACTCTGCTGCCCTTGTGTAACTACTATATAAATAGTTACTTTTTTAACACTAAATAATTGTCTACTTACATCATCTTTGGAATTATGTTGCTTACACTTTCCATGTGTAACTTGAAGTCATTGTGAAAAGTATGTTCAGACACCATTTTGTAACATATTATTGATTTATTTAGGATGTACGCAGTTGAAGAGAATACACAAAATAAAACGAACTCGTATTATCCTGGAACGGGCTGTACGACTATCCCAAATGTTTAAGATGTTAAGTAGTTATGGCCACATTTATTAGATGTTAATTCGATGAGCTAACTGAAGATTGAATTACACCCCAAATTTCTGATTATTTCAGAAGTAACTCCATTAAACTAAAGTAGGGACTTCTGTGATCGTCTCAGGTCGACCAGATAATAGTTTTATAATGTATATATAGGCACTAGTAAAATTATTAGGACGGTCATCAATCAAACAGTTTCAGCAGTGATATGTTCGTCGACGTTAAAGTATCATAACCAAAACCACATTGACGACGAACAACTACCAATCAAAATTTAGATGCAAAAAAGTTGCACAATCGTTAAAAAATGCACTAAAAACATTGTAAATATAATATAACCCTGGATAATTGTGTGTTGTAAGAATATCTCCCGGTTTTTGTAAGGATAACCCATAGAAAAAACATACCATGTGCTATAGACGTATTCATCCAGGTGATTGTATATCACGATACTTTGGAATATATTGGTATTACTGACTCAATTCTTTTATCTAGCCCTAGCCCTAACCTTAATTCTAGATCTTAACGGAAAAAGCGCCTAGGGAATAAGTAGAATACTGTACTCACCCTCACGAACAGATTTAGTCTTATATCATGATTTGATCTGAAATAACTTTCTCTGACTGGTTCTTGTTATTGATTGAATATCACTCTAATGCTCACCAGTGACTGGCCCTATTCTGTTAGATAGTTACCTGGGTTCTAGTGGGAAGTCCTGACCACTGCGGTACTGCATGTCGGGTCAGAGGGAAAATACTCGCCAGCGATGACATTCGCCAGTAGTCGCACTATACCGTGAACTGGCGGAAGCTGGAATTCATGGACAGGTCATTGGATCGCGTCCCAGTGGCATAGTGGTCTACGAGCTCGTCTTGTAACCAGAAGGTTCTGGGTTAGAACTGTGGTGGTGAGTGCATACTGAGGAAGAGTCCCAAACCAGAGTGGAGCAGCTGTCCAGTACTCCATGGTCTTCCAATGGTCAGTTCATGATGAAACCCTGTAACAAATCAATCAAATCCCTGCAAACTAACATTTGAATAATCACATCTGTTGACTTTTCATTTAAGCGAAGACAAAATTATCAATATGACAAATAACCATTGGTCATTCTCTAAGTCAAATTATTCACTTGTACACAAGATGATATGATGAAAACAATTGTCATCACTGCGAGAAATGTAAACGAATTCACCTCTTCCATTTATCTAGACAGAATCGTTTCAGCCATAGGCAATACGAATGAAGATTTCATATCTATATGGAATCGGAGAAGCACGATGGGCGTTCACTACTTTGAAACCAGTGTGAAAGGCTGCTTCACTCAGCATAAGGCAAAAGATTCGAATTTTTTAATGTCAATATGAAGTCATTGCTACTATATGGTTCCCAGAATTGGTGTGTGTGTGTGCGCGCCACGGGAAGTATTTCCA